AGCTCCAATACGTCAGAAATTTTGAACACGCATGCGTGAAGCTTTCTTCTTTCGAAATCTGTGAAGAACTCACATGCGCTTATATAAAAATGTTTAGAAATATCAATTTGAAATCGTTATTATTTTCGAAAATTTTCCGAAATGGCCGCACAAGATGTGTACACAGCTGATGAAGCGATTGACCTGATTTTTGATTCAGACAGCGATGAAAGTGAGTTTTTAGATGTGCGAGACTTAGACGTGCCTGATAGCGATGATGACGGTGGGGCTTCAAGCAGTTCTGACGGTGGAGATGTTCTGAATGAAGATGAGCCTAGGCCTAGAAATGTGAGGGTGGTCGTTGCTTTTGAATGGAAAGATCGTGCTTATATTTATGGATGGTTGGGTAAATAAATTATATAACTGTGTGGAATAGGAATGTTTTATATTTGTTTTTATTTTTTATTGGCTATAATTTATTTTTTTTTTTGGTTTTTGCTGACGATTTATATGTAGCATTTTTCTGTCATTTCTATTATATTATATATATTATATTATATTATATTATGAAAAAAAAATCCTAAAAATATAAATTATACATCAAATGAAAGCTTATTCTATAAGCTTTCTTTGTTTTTAGAAACATTTTTCTGTATAATTTACAGAAAGTTCCCAAAAATCCACCAGAACAATGTATACTCAAAAAATGCAAAAAACCTAGTTACACTGTAAAAGAATCCGGTATTCAAGGGTTTGCACTATAAAAGAATCCGGTATCCAGAGGGTTAAGAATTAAAGGAGGGTTCCCGAGTTTCCATATGCATATCATTTATTCCTAATATTTTTGAAATAATTATTTTAGACGAAAAATTGTTTCAAAAACAACAGAGAAATGCAGAAATATAATACTATACAGTATTATGTTTAGTTCCTGAAGGTAAAATCCTTTATGTGTTTGTTAGATTTTAAACTCATTAATATTCATGAGATCAGTCCTTTGTGTTATTGCTATTGTACATCACAGGAGTTACTGCAAATACCCTACCCAATATACATACGTGCCCTATATGTATTAATGTTGTTTTAAATGTATGCATGTTCCACTTTTTATCTAACAGCAAGATTCCTCTTGGACCGAACCAACTGCTATTACGTGGTGCAACCTTAAAGAACACTCACTGGATCCATGGCGTTGTGATTTACACAGGTCACGAAAGCAAGTTGCTAATGAACTCCCGTTCAGCACCCTTAAAGCAGTCGATGGTTGATAAGACTACAAATTCGCAGATTTTTTACTTATTTTTCGGCCTACTGACATTAGCATTGATTAGTGCAATTGCGCAACAGGCGTGGACAAATAAACAGAAATTTAACCACTGGTATTTGGGATACCAAGGTACGTTTTCATACAATATTTTATCATGATTGTTATTATTGGAATGGTTTGCTTTTTGAGATTAAACCATGAAGACTTGTGAATTAAAAATTCTATTTTTGTCACAAAGATTTTTTACCATCAGAATATTATCGATTTTTTATTTTAATATTTAAGAATTGAAAATTGTGTTTCTCTTTTAAATGTTGAATGAATTAAAGATGTCAGTCTCAAATAGAGTGCATATTGGCAAGATATACTGTACATCTCATTATAAACCCTGTTTATTGGAATGAAAATTATTAGAATTTTATTTATTCTGTCCTTTTATAATGTAACTATTATTATTATTGTTATTGTTGCAGCTGTTTTTTGCAATGTCATTATTATAAAATTCAACAATTTTTCTAAAAGCATTTAACAGCAGATGTAAGATTTTTTAAAAATCAATTTGTAATTGAATATTTGGGCTTGCATCATATAATGATAATATTGTCATTCAGCCTATATCTGTAGCAGAAAAGCAGCTAGATGCATGCACTGATGAATCTAATATCAACGGATGTGTATCTAGCGCAGTTCATTAGCTATATACATTTACACTAACAAAAATAAATGCCTCCCTCGAATAAACGCCCTCTCAAAACTTAATAAAAATCTATTTTTTAGTTTCTGCTGTTGTTGTTACTGCTGCTGTCTTTAGTAATGTCATTATTACAAAATTCACCAAATTTTCTAAAAGCATTTAATTAACAGCAAATGAAAGATTTAAAAAAAAAATTCTATTTTGTAATTGAATTTTTGTACTTGCATCATATAATGATGATAATAATTTGTCATTTGTGTAGCAAAGGCAAACAGCAGCTTATATGCATAAATTCCTTAGGAATCCATTATCAACTGTACGCTATTTAGCACAGTTCAATAACTTTATCTATACATTTACACCAACAAAAATAAATGCCTCCCTCGAATAAACACCCCCTAAAAAATGTCAAAAAACTGTATATTTGTTGTTGCCACTTTTATTGTTGCAACTGCTGGTTTTAGTAATGTCATTATTACAAAATTTTACAAAATCCACAAATTTTCTAAAAGCATTTAATTAACAGCAAATGTAAGCATGATTATTTTTTTTTAAATTAATTTGTAATTAAATTTTTGTACTTGCATCATATAATGATGATAATAATTTGTCTTTTATCCAATATGTGTAACAAATGCCAAATAGCAGCTTATATTCACGCACCAATCTCTTAGGAATCCAATATCAACGGTACTCTATCTAGCACAGTTCATTAACTGTATCTATACATATTTAATAGGAGGATCATCTTACATACACAAAGATGATTTATATCGATAGATATTATCTAAATAGAATTTTTTTTTTGTGGATGATAGTCGGAGATCTTTAGATTATAGGTAAATTAGGCGCTGGGTATTATGTGTCGTACTATAAGTATAATAATAGAGAACTTAAATAAATAATTTAATATATGCTTGATTGATTGATATTTTAAGTGGTTGGTTAGATGGTCAATTAGATGATATGTTGTTGGGTGGTTTGTAGACTGAACGATTGTTGATTAATTGGTTGATTGATTGATGGATTAAATCAAACCAAGATGGCAATATTATTTCTTATATATTTGAATAGTTTTGTCTGGTTTGCTTAAATAATGATTGTAGAACTGTTTAATGATAATATAAACCAAGCACATTTTAATGTAAACCTACTGCGAGCTTTCGGTGATGTTACATTATCAACACGACTTTATTATTTATTTTATTTTATTTTTTATAGACAAAAAGCCGAGTAATTTCTTCTACAACTTCCTGACGTTCATCATCTTGTATAACAATTTGATTCCAATCAGTTTACCTGTGACCTTGGAACTGGTGAAATTTGGGCAGGCGTTGTTCATTAATTCAGTAAGTTGCTATGAGCCTAATTCCCCTAGTTTGTTAAGAGTCTGTAATAAATCTGTCAGATAGTTAATTAAAGCATTGAATTGCTTATTTAAAAGGTTCAAAATTATTTCAACTTCCAATGAAATATTGATGGAAACAAGTTGGTTTTCTGTGATTTATGGACTTTTTATGAATTGTCAAGCTATAAATTTAGGGTCGCAAAATTTATAGGCACATTTTCCATGTGGCCATTTATTTTTGTTGTAATATTTTTAAACCTTGATTTTGCTCTGTTTTGTATAGTAAATTATATATCTATTGTCTGTTTATTTTTTTGAAAGATATTATTAATATTTATGTTAGTTTAATTAATTATCTTCTCTAATTTTCTTGAATAATTTATTATTTCAGTTATTTTTCTCTTTAATGTGTCAATTTAATTTTTTTTTTCCTTTCGGTAATTTTTTGTTTTAATTGATATATATGTATATATATATTCAGATTTTTTTTATTTTCTGTTTTAATTTAATTACTTTGTTTATGTTTGAGATCTGTTAAATTTTTATTCTTTTGTCTTCAAGTATATGTACTGAGGGTCCCAATTGATCAGCTCTGACTGGATGACCCACCCTCACAAAATATTGTTGAAATAAATGAAAATAAAATGAACAAATTAATTAATACTTATTTTCTAATATTATTATTTTTTAAATAAACAAGGACAATTTTAGACACTTAATAAAATATCATTAAAAAAAATATCCAAAATGTATTTTTAAAGAAAATCCACTCCAAACACAATAATAATAATAATAATAATAATAATAATAATAATAATAATAATTAAATAATAAGAATAATAATTATTACTATTATTATCATCGTTACACAACTATATTCACTCCCTCCCTGTGGAGTGTTATTAGCACGAAGCTATTCAATACCAAAACCATTTCCAAGTCATTTACAATCTACCAGGTACCTATACTCCTGGGTGAAGAGAAACGAAATACAAAGGCCGTGTAAATAATTAACAATAGACTCGACTGATTCTGATTTTACCCCTCATTGTTGGATACATAAAAAAACATGCGCAGTGTTTAAACTTACCTCCATAAATGCCTTCAGCGTATATTCCTGTTGAATATAATAAACAACACCCATGGATCGTGTTTAAACTACATAGCTGCCTTAAGTGCATATTGCTGTTGGATATATAAACACCCATGCACCGTGTGTAAACTTCCATCCATAGCTGCCTACAGCATACATTCCTGATGGATATATAAACACCCATGCACCAAATAAATCCAATGCAATACAGCTTCTCTCTACTAAAAGTGTACAATACTTCCACATTCGTATGATAAATACTCAGTTTAACATTTAGCGGCATTACACGCTGGTTTTACGATAGCAAGCCTCAAATGTTTACATGTCCACAAGTTGGTTCAATACTTATTCTTATTGCTATCATTTCACAGCGAGAATTTAAATAAATAAAATTAATCCTGTAAATTGTTAGTTACTAAATCCAAATTTGCTTCTAATATTTATGTGACTTTTTCTTTTGTTGTATTGTAGGATATTGAGATGTATCATGAAGACACTGACACGCCAGCACAAGCCCGTACCTCGAATCTAAATGACGAACTCGGTCAAGTTAAGTACATATTCTCAGACAAGACCGGTACGTTGACGTGCAATATGATGCAGTTCAGAAGATGCAGCATCGCGGGTATCAAGTATGGGTGAGTGTATCCGTAACAAAGGTGCGCATTCACATTAAAGATAATATACTGTTAACACATTTGCTGTTGCGTAATCTTTAACTGTGAATAATAAAGCTCTGGACACACTATCAAATTTTATGGGACAAATTTGTGTCATGTGCTAATATTACGATATATGGGCACGATGATGTCATATTACACCAAAATACAGGCATATCACATTTGTTTGTGCCCAGAGCTTTAAGTTCTGTTCACACATGTGGCAAATTTGTGTTATGTGCTGATATATGTACCTTAACCTTAACACTTTCCTATCCTCTCATTGGACATAGAGGCTTCAAGAATCATCTTCTTCCACTTCTTCCTGTCTTTTTTTTGCCTAACTGCTACATTCTTCCAGCTACTGAAACCAAGTTCTTTTCTTTTTGCACAAGCATGTATATGGGTATGATGACGTCATATTACACCCAAATATGGGCATATCACATTTATTTGTCCCATAAAATTTGTTAGTGTGAACAGACCTTAAAATGAATTAATTCAAATTGTTTTATCTCATTTCTTTTCTAGTTCTGCTAAAGATAACAGTCCAGTTTTTAGTGATCCCCAATTATTGCAGAATTTAAGTGAAAAACATGTGAGTTTTTATTGTCATTTTATTTCTAATAATTTATACGCTGTTCAAAAATATAATTTAACAGCTGGAATATTGTTTAAAACACTCACTTACATAAAACTGCTATCTGCTGTAGAACAATACTGGATTGCAATTAGCAATGGAGTTTTGTATAAGATAGTATAATACATATTTCAAGTATCGAAATGCACGCCATCGTGGACCTTTCGAGTTTTGTATCGTGCCTGTATCAACTAATAATAGTCATTGATCTTGTTTTTAATTATTTCTCTGTGTCATTGTATATATAAACAGTCGTACACAATGTACTGTAGGGCCTCCTTTATTCCCAGGGATCTATTCATATTCTTGCAGCTAATTTATAAAATAGACCAATCTCATTCTAAGACATTCACTGCCTACCAGGTACCTGAGTAAAGGGATACAATTTAAAATGTAGATAAAGTGTCTGGCCCAAGGACACCTTTTTAGTGAAATCTACAGTAAAAGCCTTGAATCCCGAGACCTGAGGTTGACAGCCAAGATCATTACTGCTAAATATCTGTTCGCACTACAGTACTCTTTAATGAGATGCAAACTTATGCAATTATAATGTATTTACTATATGATTTTAAGCATTTTTTGTGGGTGTTGGGGAAGAGTATGTACAGTATTCATGTGTGTGAAAAGTGCTTACTGTAAAGTGTTCAGGTGATATAATTAGTACCAGTAACACTTACAAAGAAAATGTTATTTATGCCTGTTTCAACACATCATGCCAAGTACAATATGTTCTCTTATGTTCTTCACATGTTCTTGAAGAGCATGCATCAATTGCTTTGATCTCAGTGGTCCCCCTCCCCTGTAAGTTTTTCAAATATTGTATTATATTATACAATTCCTTGATCCACCACTGGATCTATAAGTACAGATCTTAGGAAAATGTTTGTCGTTAGCCATCTGTTTTTATAGAGTTTAGGAATTCACTAATTGATAACTGATTAACCAGGGAGCTGTAAAGACCCCTGGATAATTGTGTAATGCTTATGGTTTCTCTATTTGTAAACAAATTGTCAGCTTCAATAACAAGGACGCTATGAATGTGATACTGGATAATACTCTGTCTGGTTATTTGACAGTCTTAATTTCTATGACAAATATGGTATTTGCCTATATATAGACATGATGATGTCATATCACAGCCATGTATTGGCATTATGTCATTTCACTCTCACATATGGGCATAATGATGTCATATACCCATATATAGTCAAATCACAGGTATTTGTCACGTAAAACTTGTGAAGTACTGGGGCATAAAAATTTGAGTTTCTGCAAGATTCGAACCAATGACCTTTGGTGTATATTTATTTAGATCACATTTAAGATGTATAGTAACTTAGTAGAATCATTTTTGATTAAACCTATGATTAATCATGATTTCATAGGTTTGTACCTCTCTGGCAATCTGCCAAGCTAAAGCTCTCTAGTTTGCAATGGTTAATCTAACGTAGTGCAATCTTTGCCCGAGGGCCAGGCAGAGTATGCATAGTTTGTGCTTAGAATCACATAGTTTCTTGGATATAGTCCGTGCTATGAATGGGAATTATCAATTTGCTGTTGCTGAAACTTTAATATTTGCAGTAATTTGCCCAAAGATTATTTGTCAATAGGACAGACAGATAGAGAGGAAGGTGGACAGGTACAGTGGCGTATCTGAAATTCTTGAATCGGGGTTGGTGGGAGGAGTGGGTGTGTGAAGGTGATGTAGGGGTATCAAAGATTAGGTGAGAGGAAAAGCTTGCAAAATAAGATGATTTGAGGTGTTGCTGTATTTATTTCATTTGTATTTTATGCTCTAGACTAATATCACTCCAACTTTTATTATATGATTAGAGGTGATTTTCAACTACTTGAACATAATTTTTTTGCTTTAAAAATTTTCGGT